TTTGGTAATGTGATTTGACAATTCAATAACGTTTTTGAGCTTTCACTGACAATACTTATTTAAAGATAATTTTTAAACGTGAAAACTGTCCATATTTTGATGTCATGATGTGTAAGTTAAAAATTGTTATTTTACGGTGATAATCTTGTTGTCTTGTGCCCAATAATGCATAATTTCATTTGATAAACACGTTTAGATTGAATGGTAATTTATAATCAGTCACAAGAACGTCGAATCTGAATCACTTGAAAAAAACACGGGGGTGCTTAACTTTTTTCCAGGTGTATATATATTTTAACCGTTTTATGGTGACACGAGAAAAATGAACATAGCTTAAATATTTCGTTGGTTATCTATAGACAGATATATAAGGCTCTGTTTCTGCTATAAATAGGAGAATTTCTAAAAATCAAAACGATTTATTGGTTACAACTTTAAACGTACTAGTATTTTAAATCTCGTTAGTCCTAAACAAGACGTGTGAAAGTGTAGAAACATATAAATGTGTTCAGTAATCGTGGAGACTTTATAAAACAGTACAAATAACACAACACAGGTGAACGTGTTTAACTAATATGTCATACAACTCTATAAAGGACGTATTCTTTAGTTTTAACATTATGTTTTGTGTATTTCAAATTCTCTTTGGCCGAACGTTGAACGTTATGACTTAAGTTTCTACATACAAATTTAATTTCAAAATTTTATGTCTTACAGAAAGTAATAAATAAACATGTTTCTAAGACATTCTTCAGTAAAAGAAAAATTCTGTTTAAAATAATCACACATAATTTGTGTTTTATTTTTCTTGATGTAGATGCCTGAAGAAAAAAGGAAAATTAAGGTAATTATATAATAATATGCTCGATCATATAATCTAACAAGATTCTACCAGAAACTATAAAAACCTTATTCAACTCGAAGAACAATTAACACATTATTTTGGTTTAGGAATTTAACTTAGAAAATCTGAATTGGAAAACTACGCCAGTTCAAGATTTCATATTTAAGATCACGTGGCAGAGAATATCGAGAAATATATGAGTAACTGTTTAACCTTTAGATTAATTAGTGATTGTTAGAAATATATGAATTCCGCCATAATCTATGTATTTGTTCGTTATTTTTACAAGTATATGAGCGATAGTTTATCTTATTTTCGTAATATATTGATATTACCATGTACTAAGTTGTGGTATTTAACGTAATATATTGATATTACCAGTTACTAAGTTGTGGTATTTAACGTAATATATTGATATTACCAGTTACTAAGTTGTGGTATTTAACGTAATATATTGAGATTACCGGTACTAAGTTGTGGTATTCAACGTAATATATTGAGATTACCAGGTACTAAGTTGTGGTATTTAACGTAATATATTGAGATTACCATGTACTAAGTTGTGGTATTTAACGTATTATATTGATATTACCAGTTACTAAGTTGTGGTATTCAACTTATTATATTGATATTACCAGGTACTAAGTTGTGGTATTTAACGTAATATATTGAGATTACCAGTTACTAAGTTGTGGTATTTAACGTAATATATTGAGATTACCATGTACTAAGTTGTGGTATTTAACGTAATATATTGAGATTACCAGGTACTAAGTTGTGGTATTTAACGTATTATATTGAGATTACCAGGTACTAAGTTGTGGTATTCAACGTATTATATT